GAGGTTATACAAGAGGGCGAGTACAAAAGCACACCAGCAGGAGGTGTACAGAGGTCAATATTTGTACTACAGTAAAAGTACTTAGTCAAAAAAAATTTAACATCTAGGAAAAATAAAAGTAAAGTGAGTAAAAATACAGACGTATTAAATAAAAATGTTGCTTTTGGAGTCGCGGCCACGCCTCATTAGGACAACAAGGAAGTTATACTAGAAGGCGAGTACAAAAACACACCAGCAGGGGGAGTACAGAGGTCAATATTTGTACTACAGTAAAAGTAAAACATCTTAAAAATACTTACTACTATGATAAAAATAAGAATGTATTAAATGAAAATGTTGCTTTTGGAGTTGCTGCCATGAGGTTATACAAGAGGTTGAATACAAAAACACACCAGCATGGGGCGTACAGAGGTCAATATTTGTACTTAGTCAAGAATAATTAACATCCCAAAATACTTGAAAATATTTTGGTATACATTTTAGTTTTAAAGGTGCACTAAATATGTTATTGCTTGATCTGGAATGTTCCACAGCATGCCTTTAACATATATTGTATGCATTCAATTTCAGATTTTTTTATTGCTCAAAAATACTTTGTGCTGTCACTGGCCTCTCTTAGAGTAAGTACCACCCAAAATACTTCAGAGAAAGTGAGACAGTATTTGATCACAATGTTACTTGGGTCTTGTTTTAGTGTTAAAGCTGCACTATGTAACATTTCTGAGTGTCCACTAAAGTGTTTTGAGCTTTGGAGACATGGACAGAGTAATAATAAAGTGTTACTCAAGCATGTGAATGAAACAAAACAACTCCAGGTCTGTTTTTGAGGAGGTAACAACATTCTAACATGACTTAAAGCTCACAAGAGTCTGTTTTATGTTATATAAGACCTTAGTTGAATAGATACAACAATGTTCAGATTACAATCTCTTGAGCAGGTCAAAATGAAGTGCTGATAACACAAAGCTGAGCCAAATATTCCATAATTTACCACATCTGCCATCGTCATTCACTTTTGACTAAATAAAAGATGATTTTCCTTCCAGGGGTGTTAGAAAATTCCTCTTAAAATATCAAACTGAATCGTATCCACTGGTTGATACTTTGATGAATTATATGAAAAGTATTTGTCAGTAAACTAGTCTAAACGTTAAATTTGTCATATCTTATTCTGGATCTTATTAAAGGTGCTATATTACACAATTTTGACTTTTGTGAGTTTTAAGCCATTTTAGAATGTTGGTACCTTCTCCAAAACAGACCTGGAGTTGTGTTTTGCTTCATTCATATATTTGAGAAATCCTGGATTGTTAGTCAGTCTACATCTCCAAAGTTCTAAATGCTCTGTTCCACCTCGGTGTCGGTGGCAAGGTGGGGCATTTGAGGGCCGTGCCCCCCCTAGCGGCCACTGGTGCCACAGGTACCGGAAGTACCTAGCCATGCTAGGCTAATCTGGGATCATGCGCCATTGAGCTCTGCCCATTGACTTGAATGGGCGGCCATTTTGGAACCTGGGGGCTTGAGTGTGATTGGACAACTGTTCTGTCACGTCACGTCATGTCAACCTGCTGCGTCAACTCGTAGCAGCTTCACGATTAGTGGCAGCTGCTACTTTAGCCTAAACCTCCACACAGGAAATGGTGAGAACAGAGCCAAAGAGCGAAAACACTGAGAGACCTGCCGCCGGGACCCGGGGCTGTCGCTACCGCTGCCGGAGCACATCAGGAGAAGTGTGTGGACGGTGTACCCTCGTGTACCACGCCCACTACAGCCCTGGTGCTGCCCGATGCGTGGCTTTGTCTTGCCTGATTGTTTCTTTCAGTGATGTTTTTCAGGGGTGTTTTTGATGAGGCTGTTGTTTAATGTTTACAACCAGTGACAGGCCTTATTATTATTATTATTTTTTTTTATAAACCTCAGCCTTTTATTATTGTCTTGTGTGCGTATCGTCTACCACACAACCTCAACACCTATTGCAGCTAATAATAATAATGATATTAATAATAATGATAATAATAACAGCACATAATTAGCCTAATACTGTTTAAGAACAACGTGTTTGAAGCATTTCTGCTTTGTATGACTCCACCGCGTTAAAATATTTCGCAAATGGCAGTGCCCCCCCTGCTGGTGACCCACGCCCCTCCAGTACATGTGCTCTGACGCCGACTCTGTTCCACCTTGTGATGTCATGAAGCAGTAGATTTCAAGTAGAAGTCTGAGCGGGACAGAATTTTCAGTCCCGATTCCACCCGCACCCAAAAAGAATTGTAATTTTCATTCCCGCTCCCGTCTGTATCTGCGATATGTTGTCCCGCCCGCAAATCCCGCAAGACAGGAACTTTCGTTTTCTTAAGCTCTATCAAACATGGAGAAGCGGAAATGAATTGTCTAAAATGTATGCAAGAGTAGACCACATCCGCAAATTTGGGTTGCTTAAAATGTTTTTATTAATGCCAAATAAAATATTCAGCACAAATGATGTATGATAAGCATGCATTTGTCATTTGTTTATGTTACTTTATATTCATCTTCAGTTTGTGGGACTATAGCAAGAGGCTCGCGGGAGAGTTTAGTGAAGGTGTATGGAAAAACACTGTGAAGCACTTCCTGTATTACCACATGACATCACAATTTGGAACAGGAATTTCTGTTTGAGAGAAGAAAAGGGTGACCAGATGACAGTATTTACTCGGGATAGTCCCAGCTTTGAGCCCTGGGTCCCCTGTCCCAGCAGATTTATACAGAAGCAGAGATTTGTCCCAGTTTTATACAAGAAATGTCCCAGGAGTCCCTATTTTTGACCAACGTGTTCCCTGCCAACAGTAAAGAGCGTCATACATTGCCATTTGTTTAGGTAAAATACAGAAAAGCTGTTTAAAAATCACCAAAACATAAAGAAAATGTGTGTATACTCATTCACAGGTTAGTTATGAATGGGGCAAGTGCAGAACAGTTTTCCTTAATTATGCACTCGTTTCATAATTGATTATTACCAACCACCACAAACCAGGGCGTCCCAGTTTTTGACTTAGAAAATCTGGTCACCCTAGAGAAAAACTCAGTCTAAATATGCAGGGTTTTTGTGTTAAAAATGTGAATGAATCAAAATACAACTCCAGATATGTTTTAAACGTTATAATATAGATCAGAAAAATAGAGTAATATGGGCCCTTTAATGTTGATTTTACTGATCATAAAGCACCGCCGTCCAAAAGCGCTAAACTAGCATTCCTCAATTGTAGCGCATTAGCGACAGTTAGCGCTAGCTCATTGGTAACAGTTAGCGTTAGCAGCTGTGTCTTTAATTCTTCCACCTGTGCAGCCACATGTGTGAGCATTAGCCTAAACCAAACTCCTCTCACTAGAACAGCTTTTAGATCTCCTATCCACATGTGCTCTGTGCTTAAGGAAACCCACGGCTCACTGTAAACAACACAATATCTACAAAACTGTTCTTCAAGGCCCTCGACATGATTTTTTTTCCTTATGTATTTGAGCAAAATCTGTCTTGCCCCAGTACATATATCATATTTTGGGACTATAAGTCACACTTTTTTCCCATGGTTTGGGTGAGACTTATACTCTGTCGACTTACATATTAAAACTTTCACACTGACAGCTGCGAGAGGCTCTAGGCTTGTGTGCCAGTGTGCTCCTACTCCTATTACTCCTGTACCACTGTCACTTCACTCTACTGCGCATGTCTCCTGCAGAAAGAGCCTCTATCCTGTCTGTATCATGTCAATTGATCGAACCAACTGAGAAGACTAAACACAAATGCCCCCAAAAACAAAATCATATTTTGCAGATTACAAGCAGCAAGTAGCGCAAAATGCAGCCAAAAACGGTAATCAAGCAGCAGAAAGAAACTTGTGACAACTAGGACAGTATGCACTATGCAACTTTCCTGGAAGTGACTGGATGGATCAACAAAGCCTGGACTTAAGTGACAACTGAAACCATCCTGTCAGAAGTGACACAGAGGATGAAGAATTCAATGGATTTAGTGATTTGGAGTGAGATGGAGAGTTTGTTGAACTTGCTCTGTTCTGTTGTTTATACTATAGTTATGTGAAGAACTGTTCATATGTGATGTTAACAGTCTGTGGTTCTCTCTTCTGTTGTTATTACTAGAACTTGCCTTTCAGCATGAAATGTCGGTTGTTGATATCTGATTTTATAAAATAAATTTCCCCCAAAAAGTGCAATTTATAGTCCAGTGCAACTTATATATGCTTTTTTCTTCTTCATTATGCATTTTTGGGCTGGTGCGACTGGTACTCCAGAGCCACTTATAGTCCGGAAAATACAGTATATATGGTATAAGCAGCTGTTGTGGTCAAAATAAGTCTGCTACACTCTGTCTGCATCTAACAATTACTGTGTTTTATTGGATGATAATCAGGATGTGCGTGTTAGCATGTAGTTGTTGTGAGTGTTAGTGTGAGTTGTGAAAAAGCGCTTATAAACTCATCTTGGCTGATGCTCAGAAGTAAAAATCAGGTAGGTACAGTATCTTTAATTTGACACATATAATTCTCTGTGATATATTCCTGTTTTTTGAGAACCAAATACATTTTAGACACAATATTTTTTTGGTTAACCCCCTGCTTGTGCAAAGTTATAATACATCTATTTTACTCATCAAAACAGTGAATATGTTAAGTGTATTGCATAAACAAGTTTCCTAAAAACACTAAATATGCAACAAAAGTGTGGTGCGGTCACAAAAAATTTGCTAAAAGAACCAAAAAAATACTCATTGCCGATATATCAAAACATGTAACACCAAATTTAGTATCACAATATATTTTTGCACACCCCTGACGCTATATTGTTCTATACCGATGAATCATTTCAAAGTAAAGGAATACTGCATACTGAATACTGAATACTTATGACTGCAGTATCACCATATTGTGTTGTTATAGTCTTGTCAGTCATGTATCCTGTATGGGTCTACATTTTAAAGGACTGTGATTCCCAGCCGTACTCACCGCTATAGGTGACGATGCGGATGGTGGAGTCTCCCTCTCCGAAGCGCGTGATCGGGGTGAGGCGCACTTCATACGACTCAGGTTTGATCAGCTCCGTCAGGTTGTGCGTCATGAGCTCGCCTTTGTTTATGGGGCCGTCCACTGGGATCTCCTGCTCCCACCAGCGCTGGAGCCCCATCTGAAACAAGAAGGTGAAGGAGGGGGTGTTACAGACTATAGTGCTTGTCTCAAAGGAAATGTTATTGCTTTGTCTAGAATGTTCCAAAGTATAGATTAAACCTATCTATCACGAGGGAGACAAGCATGTTACAGCACTATGCTACATTTACTTACTACATACATACAGATCTGTGGAGAGACGCCCTATTCACAGAAGGAATTATTGTGTTTTTGAACAATAGAAACACATGTAATGAATAAATACTACATGGATGTGTTTAATGTCACACCATGGAATATTTCAGGGAAAGTAATAAAAAAAAAAAAAAGAAGAAGTAGCGGACCTCCACCAGAAAAGTTGAGCAGTGCACCTTTAAGTAAAAGTAAGGAAATACAAAAGTAAAAGTATCACATGAAAAATTCTACTTAAGTAAAAGTATTACAGTAAAAAGGTATTTAAAAAAGTAAAAGTATTTCACACAGATTTTGAGATCTTCTGTAATAAAGCTTCTTTTGTGTTGAATTTTGTTCAACACAAACAACTGAATTGATTTTTTTCCACGCTGCTTTTATTTTTGTTTGCTCTAAGTATGAATGTGTTAAAATAAATAAACCCCTCAGCCTTTTCAGCAGGTCTCACACAATAATAAACTAGAAAAGCACTCAGAGAGCGCAGACCTCCGCCAAGCACTACCCCCATTTTTTATATAAATTGCGATAAAATCAGTCTTCTGGATCAGATCCGGATCAGCCTTTGGAATATGAAAGAGGATCCCATTGTCCATCCCTGAGTCAAATTTCATGGGGTTTGGTCAATAATTAACCGAGATATTGAGAAACCAAATTTTTGGCCCCATTTACCACAATGTTAACTAAAATTTCAAAGTGATCCAGAATCCAGGATTTCTTCTGGATCACCCAAAATCCAAATGAATCAGTTCTTCCTTTTCACATTTCCAACAAATCCTGAAAATTTCATCAAAATCAAATTTCCAACTTTTTGAGTAACATGTTAAACAACAAAAAACAAACAAAACAAACAAACAAACAAACAAACAAACAGACAAACGCCGGCAAAAACATAACCTCCTTGGCGGAGGTAAAAATACTTTTACTTGTCAGTCCAATTACAAAATGTAATGAAGTAGAAAGTACAGATACCTACTCTCAAATATAGTCAAGTAAAAGTAAAAAGTATACTCTTTAAAATGTACAAATACCTAAAATATATACTTAAGTACAGTACTTTACTTCTTTTACTTCGTTATGTTCCACCACTAGTAGTGATTTGATTTGATTTGTTTTTATTTTGAGTTTGTGCCAAGAGAGAAACAATAATTATACACATACTTCATATACAGTACATTATAAACAACAGAAAAGCACATTGAAAAAGAGGGGGAAGGAGAAAAAAACAACAACTTATATTAACCTACCTGTGTTCATAACATAGTTTCAAAAATTCTAAAATGATGTGGTTGCTGTACATTGATAACAAAATTTTATAAACATTTACAGATAACAAAATAAATTACATACTATGCCTACTAAATATAATTTTATAGTGATACTTTTATAATGTCAAAGAAATACAGCAACAGTCAGTAAGCTGCTACTATTATGACTAATATGTTTACTCCAGGAGGAAACAGAGGAGACTGAGCATTTTCTGTTGTTGGGTCTAAATTATAGAATGAGTTTCCTATTTCACATTAGACAAACTGACTCATTTTGGCTTTAAATCACTTCTTAAAACACATTTATTTTCTTTTACTGTTCAATAATTGTTACATGAATATATTTTCACTGCATTCCACATGTTTTATCCGCGTGTACAGCTTTTTGTTTTGTTAGTTTGCTTTGTTGTTTTTGATCGTGCTTAGTGATTTTTGGATTTGAGGTCAGACTGACCTGCAACATCAGAGAGAAGGGCAAAAAACAAGAGTGTATTGTAAAGGCAGAACTTTATGACTAAATGAGACCACTGTGTACTGAGGCTGGAGCTACTAATAAACTATTTTTATCTCTTGTCAACCCACAAGTAAGTGCCGAACGTAGCGATCTGATTGGCTGTTGACTCATTGGCTAGTTCTGTTTGAAAAAAATCTGATGTGCACGTGCTCCAAACATAATCTTGTAATTTTGTCCTTTGCATTTGACCCAATCCTCAACTGGTATTGGTACAACCTTGAGACCTGGGGCAGGATTTTGACCAGAAGTACCTTTTCATGGGTTTCATATTCTTGCTATGATGCCATTTTGAGGATGTTTGGCCAATTTAAAGATATAATATTTAGTTTTGAATTGTCACTTTGTTAATATGGCAACAGTCATCATTGTCATGTCAGTGTCATCATTCTGAAATCCAAGAAATCCAGCCCATCTTGTAAGTTTTAGGCCCCGTCCACACTAGTATGTATTCGAGTTGTTTTAGTTGTGGATGCAGTGTTCGTCCACACTAATCTGATGGAAAATGGCTCCAGAGATGGAACGATCTGGTGCTGCCAGCTCCCACGTATTTATCTGAGTATGGATCTGATCCGGTGTGAGATAGTATTTTGACCCCCATAGTATATTGACCCCGGTGTCAACATACCACGCCCCTTACTTTGTTCTTTAGTAGTTACTTATATGATCATTATTTCTCATGTAATTTTCTTTTATTATATATTAATACATATTCATGATCTTTTAAAGTATTTTAAGGACAGTTTTTATGGATCACGACTTGGTATTTTGTGTAAATGTAACGTATGTAGGTGAGCCACTTGAAAGTATCTGACTATAATAAACATATTGGGGGTCAGATTACTATAGCCATAGGATTTTTACCTCCTTTATATATAACTGATCATTGTCAATATTCAACTAACATTACTTCTTACGTCACATCATCATAACTATAATAAACATACTGGAGGGTTGAATATGTCAATATGTTTTAATTTGCAGATATAGTATTAATATTCAAAGTTTTTCTATAGAATTCAAGTTCTTTATTAATAAAATATAGATTTTTATAGGTATTGTACCATAATAGGATTCTGACCCCGGGGTCACCTCACCACAGGGTCAAAATTCTATACTACACCAGCACTGTGTGGACGCCTGAAAAAGCTCATACACTGATGTAGTCTATACGCCACAAAATAATTCACCGCCAAAATGCCAAGAGGCTAGAATATATGTCTATTCATATATACGGTCTATGTTTATGACCTGCAGACGTATAATCTCTGAAAAGTTTAACATGAACCACCTCCAGCGCGAATAGAAGCACAGAACAGACTCACCATCAGCAGGACACCCCTCTGTCACAGAAAGAACACTCATATTCCACTGAGTCGTGTCCTTTAGTGCGACAGAAGCTGCATCAGCGCACTATAGTGAGCTGTTTTTTTTGAGCTCTGAGTTTATGCAAATGAGCCATGTGGTTTTAAGTTTTGTTTCTGTAAAACATAAATAAATATGCACAACGTTGTGTGGATAGGGAAGGTTGAGGACACAGAAATTACGTGTCTGGAAGCAGAACATTTTCGATACAGTGATACAGTGATTCATTTCAGTGAAAACATAGTCTTAGATTCATGTGTGAACTGAACTACTTGAAGAAAAAGCCTCACTTGGTCTGTGAATCAAACCTGGGACCTTCTTGCTGTGATGCGCGCTTGCTGGATAAGATAAATCAATACTTTCAAAGCCTTTTCCCCTTTCATCCGCTCAATGGTACATTTGACTACAACATGAGTAATAATAATTTAATGAAGCCATCCTTTTTCTTGTTGGCACTGGCACTATTTGCGCAAATCACTTCAAACATCCCCAATAAACAAGTCTATAAAGAAGATGGTACGCCTATGATCAAAGCCCAACACACACTGACATGAGAAAGCGAAGACTAAATCAGCTCCTCTTTATCACGGCTATAGGATACTCCTCTAATCGCCCAATTAACCCCATCCATAGGAGCTCCATGACCTGCATACACTACTTTCCTCTCCAAGATGGTGGAAGGACGGTTCTCATTAGCAGCATTCAAAGCCTGTGTGTATCTGAACTCAAGCAAATTATAAACAAACTGCGGAGATCTGCCTTTAAAACTGCAAGTGCATGAGGAAGCCAGGATTGCAATGTTAATGTGTTTTTTTGTTTGTTTGTTTGTTTGTTTGATAAAATGTGCATCACTGGATATGTGTACATTGATACTTTGCAACTGACATCACACTGGGGGCTTCTATATGTTCTTCTATTTGTTTTACTCTATGGAAAAATGTAAAATACGAAATTGATTTAAACAATGCATTTTCAGGAGTCTGTGATCAGTAGAAATCCTGTTTACGAGGGTGAGTAAAGGCCGCCACACACTACACGAGAATTTGCCAGATTTTGGCTGCAATTTGCATCTTCCCAAGTTCGGGGAAGCGACTTTGTGTCTTCATGTGCGATTTTGAAGCTGGTACGCTCCTCGTGTGTGTGACTCTCAGCTGCTCTGTCAGATTGTAACCACCAAACATCAGCAATGCCATAGTAACAGCCAATAAAACAGAGCAGCGTCAGAAATAGACGGATGATCAGAAATGATGGATCAGAGTGACGGACACAGAAGCGCAATACACACACTCAGGAAATAAATAATAATAATTATTACAAATTTCTTGTAAAGTTGTAAATTTAAACTGAAGCATCTCATTCATATTATCCATAGAATTTGTAATCCACAAATAATGCCATTCAAGAAAACAGTGCTATTAATCCAGTTTGAAGAGTTCTTTGAAAATAAAAAGGCAAAAGTAGTTCCTCACGTGTGTCTGTTTACATCCACACAGTGCACGGATCTAGGTGAAGCTGCAGATTAGCGATTGTGACTCTCTACTTCCTGTGGACTTTAACGCCAACCTTATGTGCATTTAAAGTCATGTATTTGAAGTACTGCATCACATTTCAGAAATAATAATAGTAACACCATTTTGACTTGTATCTAAACTAGAAGTGCAATGGTCTGATCTTTTGAACATTTAA